GCTGTAAATCTTTACGGGAGCAGAAAGCCTCATCTTTCTCCTGCGGAACAGCTGGTAGTTTTGAACTGCTGACCTTAAGGTTCACAGCCCAATTCGTAACCACTACACTACCAGAGCTCCTTTAAAGAGAGTAGTTTCATCAAAATTAAAAATACAATATTGGGATGGTCTTTTTGACCAATTACCTTGTTGTTGTTTTATTCTGCTTTTTTGCCACAGATAAACTTGCACTTGCCCCTTCCCCAGATTGCTTGTGTCATTGAGTCATTTCCTGGCAACCCTATTGGACAGGATAGAACTGCCCCAAGATTTTCTAGGCTGTAATCTTTATGGTCCTGGTGTGGCGCTGTGGGCTAATGTGCTGGACTGCAAAGTCGGTTTGAACCTTAAGGTCAGCAGTTCAAACTCACCACCTGCTTTTGGAAACCCTGTACAGGGTCGCTGTGTGTCGGAACTGACTCAACGGCACCTACCAACAACAACAACAATCTTTTCCACCATTGCACTGCTAGGGCTCCTTTCCAGATGGCTTAACACAGAGGAAGTGTAGCAGTTCTTCAAGCCATAAAACCAGCTACTATCAAGTTTTCATCATTTTTCTTAATATCTTGGTAAAGCTTTTTAAATTGTGAGCAGCATTGTTCCTGGTCTTTTCTAAGGATTTACATGCTGAAACATTTCCAAATGAACCTATATGCCTTCTGTGTTGAACAGGCACCATTCTCATATTTACCAATCTGACAGAGCAAAAATGCATTAAAGAAGCATGCTTTGCAGCAGAACAGACTTCACTTGTTTCATCTCCCTCCTTTCCCATTGCCTATGAGCTCATTGAAGAGATGGGGATCATTTCAAATGCATCTCTGCAGGCCCTGAAGTGCCTGGCATGATGCCTTATGCTGAGAAGGTGCTCAAAATATATTTGTTGGCTTAAATCAAATGATGTGTTCTGCTGCATAATAACTATAAATCTGTACAATGTGGAAGGCCCTTAATATGAGGATTGACAAAACTTTAACGTTTCTTCTGCTTCCCTTTGCTGTCAGCACCTGCCCTCTTAAGATCTTAAGTACTCAATTTAGAGATTAGTTGCTATTACATACTCTGATATCTCTATGAACTATAGTCAGACATGTTGCTACTTATGATGCTTCTTACAGATCAAGCCTTGTCCTCCTATGTAAAAAGCTATCAGTTTGTCTCCATGTCATCTGGTCAGTTCTGTTTTATGCTTGTATTGTCTGAAATGGTAGAAATGGTATGTGTTCTTTGTTCCAGCAAGGAAATTACAATCTAAGATATTATGAAAGAAAAGAAGAACTATCCATAGTTAAATTCAAGTTTGTTTGACAGTAGTTATAAAGTGAGAATTTATTTCTTCATATAATTGAAAACTTGGGCAAAAGAGATTTAATTTTTGATCCTTGAGGCTGTTATTAAGCATATTAGTCTGTACATTGCCATAGTGGTAATCTCAGCCATAAAGTCAGATGTATCACTGCCATTCAATTATTATTAGGTCTTCCTGGTGTTGTATTATGGGATACAGCACTGGATCACAAGGACAGTTTGAACCACAAGGTCGGCAGTTAAAACTCACCAGCCACTCCTTGGAAACCTATACAGGGTCGCTATGAGTTGTAAGCTACTCAATAGCAGTTAACAACAACAAAGGCACATTATACACACATCATTCAAGTGAAGGTGGGTGCAATATAAATTCTCTTTTTCTTCAGAATGTAAAGAGGCTCCTACAAAACCCCAAAGTGACTGAGTTTGATGCTGTCCGCCTGGTGATGCTTTATGCTCTACATTATGAGCGACACAGCAGTAACAGCCTGCCAGGACTAATGATGGACCTCAGGAATAAAGGTGTCGCTGAAAAGTATCGAAAGGTAACCAGACTTACACAGTAAGTCCACCAAACAGGAATCCACTCTGTTATAATAATATTCTTAACTCGGACAAAAAATAAAATCATGTTATTTTTATTCACAGAAAGGTATGATTCTGTCCTCTCATATCTTCATTTTCATAAGAATTTTTTTCTCATGAAATGAGTTTCTTGATCCCCAAGCAATAAAAGGTCGCTTCCCTTGTTTTTGTAGCTCGTATCTGCAGTTGTGGAATATGGTGGTAAACGGGTCAGAGGAAGTGATCTCTTCAGCCCCAAAGATGCTGTGGCTATTACCAAACAGTTCCTTAAAGGATTAAAGGTATAGTTCCTAAAGGAGAAGCAGTTGAAGCCCATGAGGCTGTGAGTTAATGAACATGATCTTTACCATCTTCAGGATTGATTGCTGTTTATTGAGTACTATGTCAATTAAGGGAAATTAAAACAGACATGCACTTGTAAGCTCTCTCTTTCAGTGCTTTCTCTATTGGAGAAGTAATAGCATTGGACCACATAGATGAACAGGAAATAACTAGAGATATTTCCAGGAAATACCTAAGATAAAAAAAGACAAACAGTTCTCTTAGTCACAGCTATTTTACTTCATTTGTTTATAATTTAAGATTTTGGGAAGTAATTTATTTGCAGAGAAAACTAAAGATGAAGCAAACAACTAAAATCTTTTAGAATACTAACGTATTTTCTTAAAATAGTCAAAAATTATAATGTGATAGCTTTTTTGTTTCCTGAAATTTTTCTATTTTCCTGAACGTTACCATTCTCTTTGCTACAAGGGTCCTTTCCTTTTGTCTGCTGTACTTGTCATTTAACATTTTCACAAAGGGTGAGAGTTAGTGACGAGTTGATTAAATATTTAAGCAAATTCATTTTTAAGATTTTTTTTAATAGTAGCCTTAAATTGCAGAGTATTTTTTTTTTTTTTATGAGATTGGGATATTTCTGGGTGATAAGTATCATTTTTAAATTTCCTAAAATTCCTGTATGAATTTATCCCATGAAATATCTATTGAGTATATGTCCTTTTCTGATAAGCGTTTCATTAACTGTTATATTGCTAGTTTCCCCAAAATGACAAAAGAAACCTTTCCCCTTGTCTTAGGGAGTAGAAAATGTATATACTCAGCATCAACCTTTCCTACATGAGACCCTGGACCATCTCATCAAAGGAAAGCTTAAAGAAAACCAGTACCCTTACATAGGCCCCAGCACACTCAGAGACAGGTAAGGTAAAAATATATATACTAATAGTAGAAGCCAGAAATACCAAACAAATAGGAAATTTGAAGTAATGTAAGAGACTATGAAGGAGTTAATACGCCTCTCTTCCTTTCTGTGTTGTTTCAATTCTATCATTTTTTTATGTTTTAGGTTTATGTCTTAGTTATCTGGTACTGCTATAACAGAAATACGATAAGTGGATGGCTTTGGCAAACAGAAATTTTACTTGTAGTTTAAGATTCAGGCCAGTTCTGGGGAAAGGCTTTCAACATTTTCTGACCTAGTATTCTTAGAGGTCTCTATGTGTCTTGGCATCAGTCTTCCCCAGGGTCTAGAAGGTTCTCAGACCAGGGCCTCCTGGGTTCAAAGGCTGCGGTTTCTCCTGACCCTTCTTTCTTGGTGGTAGTTGAGTCCTTCTCTCTTTCTGCTTGCTTCTCTCACCTTTTAAAAGGAGGTACAGGTCACACCACAGAGAAACTCCCTATCATTGACTGAATTGTGTTCCCCCAAAATAGATGTCAACTTGATTGAACTATGATTCTCAGTGTTATATAATTATTCTCCATGTTGTGATCTGATGTAATTCTCCTATGTATCATAAATCCTCACCGCTATGATGTTAATGGAGTCCTGGTGTGGCGCTGCGGGTTAATGTGCTGGACTGCAAAGTCAGTTTGAACCACAAGGTCAGTGGTTCAAGCTCACCAGTCACCCCTCAGAAACTCTATATAGGGTCACTATGGGTCAGAACCAACTTGATGGCACTTAACAACAACATGATGTTAATGGAGTACTGGTGTGGCACTGTAGGATAAGCACTGGACTGCTAACTACAAGGTCGGTAATTCAAACCCACCAGCTGCTCCTTGGAAACCCATGCAGGGTTGCTGTGAGTCAGAACTGACTCATTGACACTTAACAATAGCAACATGATGTTGATGAGGTAGGATTAGAGGCAGTTATGTTAAAGAGGCAGGAGGTAATCTGTAGGATTAGGTTGTATCGTTAATCTTCTATTGAGATATAAACGAGGTTAAACAAGTGAACAGAGATCAGCAGGACCTTGCTACCACCAAAAATGAAGAGTCATTAGTGGAATGTGTCCTTTAGACCTGGGATTCTTGCACTGAGAAACTTCTAGACCCAGAGGCAGATTGAGGCCAAGACACACAGAGATCTCCAAGGGACGCTGGGCCCAAAGATGCTGAAAAGAGATAAGGACCTTTTCAACAAAGGTTGTCAACAAAGAGAGAAAAAACCCTCCATTAGAGCTGGCATCATGAATTCGGACTGAGGTCAGTGATTCAAATCCACCATTCACTCCTCGGAAACCTATGCAGGGTCGTTATGAGTTGGAACTGACTAGACAGCACTTAACAACAACAACAGCAGTAAAACTGTGAGAGAATAAATTTGTTCATTAAAGCCATTCACCTGTAGTATTTCTGTTATAACAGCCCTACATAACTAAGACACTCCTCTTAACATTAGATCAGGGTTGTTACCTAAGTATGGGTGTTTGCATTCCATCCTAATTCTGCCTCATTTACTTCAAAACATAACCTAATCCTCATTAACATAACAGAATCTTGCCTTAATACAGAGGTCAGGATTTGTAACGTCTCACAAAATAGGGGTTAATTATATCAGATCACAAAATGGAAAAATGGCTACATCATTACATAACTGCCAACTCACATTATTAGCTAATTGCCAAACTACATCATTGTATAACTGCCAAACCACTGAAAATAATGGCCTAGACAAGTTGACATACATTTTTGGGTGTATACAATTCAATCCACAACAGTATGTCACGATTAGATATGAATTTACTTGCTAAGCCTGAAGCATTTATTTCTTTGGGGAATAAAGAAGCAAATAATATAGATCCTGTATTCTGTCTTTTAATGGTGTGGCATAGCATAAGTACTGGACTGCTAACCTTAATATTAGTGGTTCAAACCCACCAGCTGCTCCTTGGAAAACCCTATACAGAGTTGCTATGAGTCATAACTGACTCAACACCAATTAACAACAGCCGTTAACTTATGCCATTTAAGGTTCAGTGTTATGGCAGCTAGCATTTGGAGTTTCAAACATTAAAACCAAAAATAGATTTGTTGCTTGAGTGCCATCCAGAGCAGGTTGTTACTATTTTTGGTGAGGACTGGACTTCTTCAGATGTAGCCAGCATACAAGCTGAGAGACATAATTAACAAATGCCATTTGTTACACAAGAGGAAATGATGACTTTCTATTTAGGTTTAACCAAAGGAAGCAATTACTAGTGGTTGTCATTTTAATCCAATGACTAGTTAATTTTCCTTTTAACAAAGTTTGTCCTGAAAAACTTAGGTTAACCTGAAATTTTAAATATATACTAATTCTACCTCATTTTAAATTACATTCTTTATTATTATTATTATTGGAGCTACACATTATAAATAATGTAATATATTTCAATTCAATATATGTAACTGAATCCTATTAGATTAGTGTGAGAAATTCCGTCGTCTCCATCTCAGAAAAATTATGTTTCAAAAGTACAAGGATATTTGTGAGTACTAGTTTCCAGTTGATACATACATGAGTTTATTTTTTTTTTTAAATGTTTATACATACAAGAGTTTATTTTTTTAAAAAATGTGTGAACAAGTGTATTAATTCTGTCAGTAATACACTTGTCTTAGTCTCCTTGGATTGCCTTCAAAAAGTGGCTTCTGAGGGAAACTGCTGAACTAGTAAAATTCAAGACAGGTTAAACTCAGAAGGTTATTGTTGTTGTTGTTGTTAAGTGTCGTCGAGTCGGTTCCGACCCATAGCGACCCTGTACAGGGTTTCCGAGGTTGTAAATCCTTACGGAGTAGAAAGCCTCATCTTTCTCCCGCGGAGCGGCTGGTAGTTTCGAACCGCTGACCTTAAGGTTCGCAGCCTGATTCGTAACCACTACGCTACCAGAGCGACTGTTATTTGGGGCTGGGGGATTCCAAAAGGATAGTATTGATAGATTTTTTTAAAGGGCAAAGATGGTCACGGGGGCTTATTAGAAGTTTTAAGAAAATTGAAAACAGCATTGGTGATAAAGAGGCTGGGAAAGTTGTAACAAGGAATGTTTTTTCCAGCCTGACAATTGTTGTTGTTGCTAAGTGCTGTTGAGTTGGTTCCGACCCATAGCGACCTTGTATAGGGTTTCCAAGGAGCAGCTGGTGAGTTTGAACTGCCGACCTTGCAGTTCAAACCAATTTTGCAGTCCAGCACATTAACCCACAGTGCCACACCAGGAAGCTGAATGAGTGAATACACCTGCTCATACTATGAGGGTAGCCAGGACTGTCCTATGAGAATTTCATTGGGAAACCTTATTCCACCTACACTGCAGCCCTGATCTTGCCGCTTCTGACTTCTTTATGATCCCCAAATTTGACTTGGTGTAAATTGATGTTTTGCTATAATGTAAATTGCAGACTGCAGAATTCTTTGGGGGAGGGTTAGAGATGGAAACACTGCCTTCAGAAGTGTATAGACATAGAGAGCAGAGATGTTAAGAAACAGTAACTTTACATTTTGATATTTTTGTTTAATGAAGATTTCTATGATTTTGTAGCAATATTATTTTTACTTATCCTCATAGTGAATTTTTGAAAGGGGAAAAATCTTTTGATGTACATAAATGAATCTTTTATGTGATAAAACATGTGTATATTTTTTTACTTTTTCTCTTAAAAAAAAAGAGAGACAACAACAAAATCCCATGGTTGAGGGGTAGAAATCTGAGTTTAATGAGAGCGTTCTCATTCAGGTAAGATGTTTAAGAACCTTGGTGTCGGCTAAATAGAAAGAGTAAAAACCAGCCAAAGCTTTCCACCTAAATGAAAGGCTTTTTGAAAAACAATATAACTATTTTGTCACTTTCCAACGAATCTAAGTAGAAATTACTTGCTTACAGATTCTGTATAAGAATCACTGAACAAGAAATTAGCTACTTATTGCTAAAGGAAAACAGTAGGTCATCAGAAGAGTATATTGTGTATTATTGCACAAAAGCACAGCCTTCTAATTTGTAGATTATTCATTTTCAAACATAATTCTAAATGATACTTTTCCAATGACCTGCATGTTTGTTAGGTGTTAGCATCTGTTAACATTTGTCACTGTTGCCTAAATATGTGGACCTATACATAGACCAAGAGGCAGTTGTTAGACCAGATACTGCATGGTTAAAATCAGAAAGGAATGTGTTGGGATTGTATCCTTTTATCATACTTTTTCATTCTGTGTGCTTAACAAATACTCTGTGAAGCTGGACTATATGAAGAAGAATGTGACATCCAGATTAGAGGAAGACTTATTAACTATATGCAGATGACTCTACCTTACTTGCTGAAATTGAAGAGGACTTGAAACACTTACTGGTGAGGATCAAAAACTACAGCTTTCAGTGTAGGTTACACATCAACATAAAATTAAAATCCTCACAGCTGGACCAATAAACATCATAATAAATGGAGAAAAGATTGAAGTTGTCAAGAATTTAATTAGTTTGGTTCCACAATACACACCTATGGAAACAACTGTCAAGAAATCAAATAACTTATTGCTTTGGACGGCTCTGTAACAAAATACATCTTGATAGTGTTAAAAAGCAAACCACCTGTTGAAAGTGTTAAAAAGCAAAGATGTCAGTTTGAGGACTAAGGTGTGCTTGACCCAAGCCATGGTATTTTTAATCGCCTCATATTTGTGCTTATGCTAGACAGAGATTAAAGGAAAACTGAAAAAGAATGTGTGCATTTGAGTTATGGTGTTGGTGAAAGGATATTAAATATACCACTGACTACCAGAAGAACAAACAAATTTGTCTAGAAAAAGTCCAGAATGATCCTTAGAAGCTAGGATGGTGAGACTTCATCTCCCATACTTTGGACATTGCATTAGGCAAATCTGCTGCACAAGACCTTGTTAAAGTGTTGAAGAGCAAAGATGTCAGCTTGAGGACTAAG